GATGGGGAGGACTGGGCTGGCTCTGCGGGCTTCTGGGGGTGGAAGCTCTCCTGTAGCCCCCCAATTGCCCCCTCTCCCCAGATGGCAGCCTGCGGCAAGTGCAGCCGGGCTGATGGCCAACTGCTGTGAAGTGCCCAGTGTGGGCACAAAGGGCACTCCAAGCCAGGACTGCTTTGCAAGCGGGGCACCCCTGAGAACTGTCTGTCCGGGGTGGGGGTCGGGACCCTTTAAGCACAGCCCTTAGCTAGCCTGAGACAGCATCTCCATGCTCTAAGTCCTCCTCTGATGCCCTACCGGCACTGCTTCCGGCCATCCTTAATCCCTCTTCAGGGTCCAAGTTTTTAGTTCTAGATGCGTTAGTTCGAATTAGCTTAGTTCGAATTAAGTAATTCGAACTAAGTTAGTTCGAATTAGCGCTGTAGTGTAGACATACCCTGTATGTCTGTCCCTCTGTCTTTTTCTGATTCATAAATAAAAACACCCTTATGTCAGTTAACATTTTCAAGGATATTTAAAGATGAATCCAATAATCACCTCCATCAGTTTTGGTTAGATTTTGGTGGCTTTCTTATTAGGGACAGATTACTGGGCTAGAAGACCAAGGAATTCTCAAGCATGTTTACCACAGAATGGCCCTGCATGGCCAGCGATCATGTGGTTGCCAGAAGCTTTGGAGGTGTTTTATGACCGCTACTGATGCACACATACTGAATAGACAGCTAGGCCAGGTTAAGGACTTGGCTAGAGACTGATTTTATGGGGTTTGCCATGACAATATGTTCATTCAGAGTGGGGATGTTGTTGCAAATACGGCAGCATGAACTCTCATCTTCCTCCCTTGCACCTCCCAGATGTCCCACCATCTGGATTAGAGAGAAAAAAGGGGAGCTCATCATATCACACAGACATGGTGAGACTTGAAGGGGAAATTTTCGTTATAGGAAAAGAAAATTCCCATGGAAACATTGTGGTGAACATGTAGATAAAGTACCAAGTCAAACACACCCCTCTAGCAACAAACACACCATGCACTGAGAGGATCCCGAACTAAAGTCACCCAAACAATCCTGACACCAACCTCACTGCTGAATTCATGCTCATGATGAGGAACAGAAACAGTCTCACTGTCCAGTATCCAGACACCCTTAACTCTGCCCTGGGCTCTGTTGCGTATTACATCCAGAGGAATGAGTGGAGTGAGAGTGTCTGCCCCTTGGTTCTTCTCCAGCATCCTCCCTTTCCCTTGGGCTGGGCTCCTTCTGGCCCTTCCCTTCATGTTGGTCATATCTTCATGGGTTAGGGAATGGCTTTCCCTCCAGTGAAGCCACGGCTTCCATTCTCACCCTTAACTCTGCCCTGGGCTCTGTTGCGTATTACATCCAGAGGAATGAGTGGAGTGAGAGTGTCTGCCCCTTGGTTCTTCTCCAGCATCCTCCCTTTCCCTTGGGCTGGGCTCCTTCTGGCCCTTCCCTTCATGTTGGTCATATCTTCATGGGTTAGGGAATGGCTTTCCCTCCAGTGAAGCCACGGCTTCCATTCTCTTGGCCCCTCCCCAATGCCACCTCTTCCCCTCTTCTCCCAGGACAAGGCAGGGAAGACCAGCTGGGGGAAGGAGGATTCCTAGGGTGGTTAAATCTGTTTACTGCCTCCTCTTAGCACCCTCCCAGCAGACTCAGTCTCTTTCCTCTGTCTCTCTCCACTGATCTGTTTCTGGGAGTCAAGCAGAGGAATCAGTCAGGTGTCTACTGCAGGAGAGCCCTGGAGCCCGTCTGTCCCTCTGTCTTTTTCTGATTCATAAATAAAAACACCCTTATGTCAGTTAACATTCAGTGCTGAGCTTGGCCCCTAATTCTCTGATTCTCTCCAGTGAATGTGAGTCTGGTTCCAGACATGGCTCATTCTGTTCCTAATTATCCCTGGGGGTATGTCTACACGGGGCACGAACTAGGTAGTTCGAACTAGGCTTCCTAGTTCGAACTACCGTTACTCCTCATTCCACGAGGAGTAACGGTAGTTTGAACTAGGAAACCTAGTTCGAACTACCTAGTTCGTGCCCCGTGTAGCTGCGCTGCACAAGGTTTGAACCAGCAGGGTTTTAAAAATGGTGGCTCCCCGCTTATGCAAATGAAGCCCGGGAAATTCAAATCCCGGGCTTCATTTGCAAGTGCGGTATGCCTACATTACCCTGCTAGTTCAAACTAGCGGGGTAGTGTAGACATACCCTGGGAGAATTTTTATTGTGATGATCAGATGTTAAAAAATAAATATTATTATTATTATTTGTGACATTTACTGCAGTTTACAAAAGCAAACCAACAAAAGAACCCCAAGAAGAAGAGTCCCTTCTGAATCCTTACTGCATTCAGGTGATCTGGGTTACATGGAAAATTTCCTCTGCTGCTACTGACACTTCTCTTTCAGCAGAAATGTGGCTGTTTCTTTAAGAGAGGACTCATCTGCCCACATCAGAAGGGTTGAAACGATGATGACTTCACATTTCCTCTAGCACTTTCGCTTTCAAAATGGGCCATTCTCAGCAGAAGAAGTAAAGCACAATTACCCCTTTGGAACAAAACAGATTTCTTAACAAACTGTAGGAAAAGCTACAATAGCTCTCTGTAGCTATTTTACAGCTAGCCGTAGCTGTGCAAATTGATACAATGGTGTGGGCTTTGGAATATAAACTATCAATTATCGGATGAGGATTTTGGAAGACCAAGCCACACACTAAAGATCATAAAACTTCTCAAATCAGGTATGTGAATCTTGGCTGTTCAAAAGCCATTGAACTAAAAGGACTTGTAGCATTCTTAAGAGCCATTGATTTTTTTTTGCAGGGACTTGTTAATAATACAAAGATTAGGTAATCCCATGAGAATTTTTTACTTTTTATATTATATGTACATAAAAACACATTTCAGATTACTAGCACTGTAACACGACTTTTACAAGACTTTGACTTAGCCATTCTTCATAATATTATTGCGTTTTGTTCAAAAGCACTGGGCCAGATCCTACTCTCAGTGAAGGCAAAGGAAGATTTGTAATAAAATAACTGACTGTATTTAGCTTGCTGAAATAACATACAGCTGCAAATCTAGCTGCCATTACTGTAGTTAGAGTCTGCACAGATGCAAAATTTATCTGCATCTGCAAAATTGAGCCACAGATGCAGATTCTTCACAAACCAGAGCTGAACTTTCTCTGGGTTGTGACTCTCAGCCACTTCTGTACCCTTTTTTGGTGGGAAGTCAATTTCAAAGGCCAGGTGAAGACCAAGCTGATTGCTTCTGCCATTCCTTAATAGAGTTTCCTCAGAACAGGAACCCTTTGTTGATCCCTCCCCATCCCTCATGGAAAATCCCAGGTTCAAGACAGACTCCAGCACCAGCTGGCGTGGTCACATGACTTTGTAGAAACAACCAGGCTGTGTCTACACTGGGCCACTTATTCCGGAAAAGCAGACGCTTTTCCGGAATAAGCTGCGAGCTGTCTACACTGGCCCCTTGAATTTCCGGAAAAGCAGTGACGATTTACTGTAAGAAATCAGCTGCTTTTCCGGAAAAACTATGCTGCTCCCGCTTGGGCAAAAGTCCTTTTTCCGGAAAACTGTTCCGGCAAAGGGCCAGTGTAGACAGCCCAGTAGTCTTTTCTGGAAAAAAGCCCCGATCGCGAAAATGACGATCGGGGCTTTTTTCCAGAAAAGCGCGTCTACATTGGCCACGGACGCTTTTCCAGAAAAAGGGCTTTTCCGGAAAAGCATCCTGCCAATGTGGACGCTCTTTTTCCGGAAATATTTATAATGGAAAACTGTTCCATTTTAAGCATTTCCGGAAAAAGGTGCCAGTGTAGACACAGCCCCACAGTTTGGGCTTATAGGAAAAACAAAGTCATTTACAGGTCATTGCCACCGTAAGCAGCTTAGCACCCTTCACTAGAAGATCTATATTAATAAAACAGGTTTCCACTGAATATTTCTAACTTCACAGAGAGGATGATACATGCACAGGAATAGAATGTACATATTCAAAACTGTAACTTTAAAAATGACATGTCACATGGTGCATTTTGACTAACATGTCTTTGAATTATTGTGACGGGGTGGAGCAACCCCATCACTTGTTACCGCCGACCGGGGTAGCCGAGAGGGAGATAACAAGCGCGGCCGGCCCGCGCGAGGGAGGGACGCGTCATCACGCGGCGCCTGGGCGCACCGGTGATGACGTCACGGGCGCGACGCCGGGGAACCCGGAGGAGAGGGGGAGCATAAAGGGAGTGGCAGCGACCGGGGAAGGGCGGTCGGAGCCAGGGGAATCAGGAGGTCAGGAGGGAGAGGAGGCGACCGAGAGGCCCGAGCAAGGGGGAAGCGGAGGAGGCAGGCAGCCCACGGGAGCCAGCGGGTGACCGGCGCGGCCAAGGGCCGGCGGAGTGGAGAAGGACCCAGGGCGGGCAGTGGAACCCGGGAGCAGGTGTGTTTGGGGTACTAGCCCTCCTGCTACCACCGAGAGGCACACTCTCGGTGTTAGGGACCTGGGTCGGGGTCCGGAGTGAGGGTGGGCCCGAACCCCCCACTCCGCCCGGGAGATTCGGAACTGGGCAGTGATGGGGTGGCGGCCCATGCCGCCACCTCGTCACAATTATGCATATTCATAATACAAGTCTCACAAAGCATGGTTGGGAGGGTGATCCAGGAGGGGAACCACTATGGAAGAGAGGTGAGCAGGGGTGGACTATGGTCCTGCCTTTAAGGAAGATTTCATGACCTCACTATAAGAGAGACAATGTTACAAACATTGAGAGAGATTTTCCCACTGCAGGAAACAAGCCTTGTTTTCAGAAGCAAGTCTGCAGGAGTGATTAAAAAATGGACATTATTTTTCATCATCGTTTGTGAACAAAACTATGATAGTTTCATTCTAAAAAAATTATGTTTTTCAGTGAATCAGCTCAAAACAACATCTTTCAGAAAACAGCCGGAATGGAATAAAAACTAGCAGAGTGTCTTTGTTTGTATTACAAACAATTGAGGATCTAGAACAGAAGCAGAGAGAACAAAAGCAGCCATGGCCACAGCAACTCCTGTACAGGAAATCCAAGAGAAATCCAAATGTCCCACCTGCCTGGAATGTCTTACAGACACAGAGACCACCCATCTGAATGAGAGACATAGCAAAGCCCTGGATCTGTTGTGTGAGGACGGGGAAGCCATGAGTGTGGTTTGTGAGAAATCATCTGAGCACAGCTCTCACCCAGTACTGCTCCTGGATGAGGCTGCCCAGACAGACAAGGTAGGACAGACTCTGGATCCAGATTAATTCCATCCTTCCCTGTTCACGCTCAGTATCACGGAGCCAGAATCTCTCATTTCTCAGATTTCCTCCCCTGATCTCTGGCGCCACCTAAATCTGTCCCCTGCAGGTTCCTTCCTTTGGGCAGGTGCAGGAAGCCCAGAACACTCCTGGCATCCAACCCCTGCTGTGTGTGCAGGTTACTGGACTAGATGACCACTCAGTGTTCCTTTCAGAGCTATGATTCTGTCACTAGGGAGAGGTGGGCAACACAGCTCTGTGAGAGGCATTTTCCATACACACATGAGTGAGGCAAGATGTGTCTGTGCTGCTGCCAGGCCAGAAAGAAGGCCACCACCACAATGTATGACCCTCAGTAAAGACAAAGGCTGTGTCTAGACTGGCAAGTTTTTCTGCAAAATCATCTGATTTTGTGGCAAAACTTACCAGCTGTCTACTCTGGCCCCTTGAATTTCTGGAAAAGCACTGACGATCTCCTGTAAAATCATCAGTGCTTTTCCGGAAATATTATGCTGCTCCCATTCAGGCAAAAGTCTTTTTCCGAAAGACTTTTGCGCGAAGGGTCCAGTGTAGACAGCATAGTATTGTTTTCCACAAAAAAGCCCCTCTTGCGAAAATGGCGATCAGGGCTTTTTTGCGGAAAACCGCATCTAGGAAAAGCATCCTGCCAATCTAGACATGCTTTTCTGAAAATGCTTTTAATGGAAAACTTTTCCTTTAAAAGCATTTCTGGAAATTCATGCCAGTGTAGACGTAGCCAAATGGTGCAAGACAGAAATCTCAGGCCAAGCAGGCAGTTGGTGACAAACAGAAACAATGTTCATAGGCAGCAAAGGAAGAAGAGGGTGTGTAGTGAACACCAGGAGGTTCTGAAACTGTTCTGTGAAGACGATCAGAATTCGGTCTGTCTGCCTTGGCCTCTATTCCTGGGCTTATCATGTTCACATGGTGGTTCCCTTAGAGGAAGCTACCCAGGAATACAGAGTTCTAAGTTGCTGTTCAGTCTAATATATAATAACTTTGGATTTTAATTACTAATTAATGGCATCATAAGTCCCCTCCTCCCTCTGCGCCCTGTGTAACTATGTACGATCAGAATTCGGTCTGTCTGCCTTGGCCTCTATTCCTGGGCTTATCATGTTCACATGGTGGTTCCCTTAGAGGAAGCTACCCAGGAATACAGAGTTCTAAGTTGCTGTTCAGTCTAATATATAATAACTTTGGATTTTAATTACTAATTAATGGCATCATAAGTCCCCTCCTCCCTCTGCGCCCTGTGTAACTATGTCCTGTGTGTGAATCATAGAATCATAGGGTTGGAAGAGACCTTAGGAGTCATCAAATGCAGTCTCCTGCTAAAAACAGGACCAACCCCAACTCAATCTTCCCAACTAGGACTTTGTGAATTCAGGACTTAAAAAGCTCTTGGGATGGAGATTCCACCACCTCCCTAGGAAACCCATTCCAGTGCTTCACCACCCTCCAGATACGGCCTCACCAGTACCAAATAAAGGGGAATAATTACTTCCTTATAACTGCTAATAATGCTCATACTAATACATCCCACTATGCTGTTAGCTGTTTTGGTTATAAGGGCACACTGTTGACTCATATCCAGCTTCTCATCCACTCTAATCCCCAGGTCCTTTTTTGCTGAACTGTTATGTAGCCAGCTGGTTCCCAGCCTGTAGTACTTAGCTTATGTCTACATTTCTAAATTAGATCAAATTTATGCAAATTGGTTTTTTTTTAGCACCCGATTTTGTAAAGTTGAAGGTGTATGTCCCCACTATGCTTGTGAGTAGGATGTAGTTTGACATACATGTCCCCGTTGGGGTGGTTACTGTTAATTTGATAGCAATACACTGTGCATATCTATCCCACTGTTCCTGCACCCGTTTGCTTTCTGGTTTAGGCTCCCAAGGCCTGATGGTGGGGGGATGACAGTGTGACAGGTGATTCTGGGTACGTTGTCAGTGCCCCATAATGCATTCATTTCCTCCCTCCTCCCCTTCCCCCCACTTGAAAGCAATGGCAAACAACCTTTTCACACCTTTTTCCTATGGGTTATTTGGGCAGACACCATAGCAGGGCAAGCATGGACCCCATTCATCTACAAAGTGCTATGGTCATCATTGCAAACACCTCACGCATTATGCTGCGGTAATTCCAGAGCCTAGCCAGGAGCAAGGAAGAATGTGAGGAGGCCACAACCACAGACATATATGAAACACTTGAATGGAGAGGCTAGCGGCAGTTGATTCTTTTGATACAGTGAAATGCCAGCTCTGGTCCCAGGATACAAGCAGAGTATGGTGGGACACCATATTTATGCAGCTATGGGACGATGGCCAGTGGCTGCAAAACTTTCACATGTGCAAGGTAACTTTCATAGAGGTTTGCGAATTGCTTTATTCTGCCCTGAAGTGTAGCAATTCCAGAATGAAACCCTTACATCTAGACTACAGGCTTTTGTAAGATACTGTCAACAAAGCTTCTGTTGACAAAGAGCATCTAGACTACAGCCAGTTCTGTTGACAAAGCAAGTCTCTTTGTTGACATGACAGTGTAGACGCAAAGGACAGTGTAGATGCAATAACGCCTTCTGTCGTTCTCAACTTTATGGTAGCCACCTTGCCAAAGTGTACATAAACTGCCATAGGTACTTCTCGATGGTGTTGCAGGTGCTGGTGGATCACAAGGACTGTTTCACTAACATCAGTATCGGATCAAATGAAGCCCGGGATTTGAATTCAAAAAGGTATAAGATGGAACATTCTTTCCAATTGGAAAACTACCCCTGGAGACATTGAAATGCCAATAATTATCTTTAGAGACCCAGCCTACTTCTTGTTCTTGTGGCTCTTGAAGCAGTACACAGGCAGCCTGGACATCAGTGGGAAGTAATTCAACTATAGGCTGAGCAAGTGCAGAATGATGGTAGAATGTGCTTTTGGTAGAATGTAAAGGGAAGATTTTGTAGTTTATTGACTAGGTTAGACATCATCAAAAACATTCTCATTGTGGCAGCCTGTTGTGTGCTCCATAATACCTGTCAAAGTAAAGGGGAAAATTGTATGTCAGGAAGGAAGGTCCAGTCAGATCATCTCACCACTAATTATGAGCAGCAATAAGGACAGCACATTGAGAGGCACTGCAAATCAGAGAGGCTTTGAAAAATAGCTTTGTGAATGACCTGATAGTGATATAACAGTCACGTATGTTGCTCTTAATGAGGAGCTCCCTGCAGTAAGTGTGCTGGCCTGTAAATCCTGTAAAGCTTCCCTGTGTGCCATGCAAGACAAGAAATAAAGATACTGATGTTGAGAAATCATGCTTTTTTTTTTTAGGAAACACAAGGAAGCAAGCACAGAAATGGAGTTCTGAGTGGGAACTTTGGGGTAGAGGAACATATGCAAATAACACATTACAATTCTCCTGTTCAGCAATCACACATGGGGGAATGACATCCGTTTGTTCTGGGATAAATCCCTGGAGGTTGACTAGAAGGCTTCCCTTGACTAGAAGGCTTCCCTTGACTTCTTCGCCTCATCCCTCTCCTTCCCCCGTATATTCTAGGGCATCTGGGAAGGGAGACTATAGAACTTGATAAAGAGGGCACGTGGTTCATTGTAGACTTGAGGGAGGTTCTGTGCTCCTTTTGCCCCTCCTGTGCCTTTACCAGATATGTCAGCAGTTCTGTTTGCTGTCTCACAATCTCCTCCTGGGTCTTTACTTTACATTCCCTGCAACTTTCCTCTCCTCATCCTATGCTCACATCTTCTGCACCATTGTTCTCCTCCACACATTTAATCACACCCTGTTCATGTGGGTGCAGTGCATTTGTTCATGGAATATGTCATCCAATTACATTTTTGCCTTGAGATCTGTTCTCACTAAACAGCTGGAAGAGCCAGGGGAGTGGGCAACGGACTCACTGTTGCATCCACTGTACTAAAAAAACAGAAGGGCTAGCTTTAGAGAAGATACAATGTAGAAGCTAATCTCTTAGCACAGTGGTTTCCAACCTTCTTACACCCAAGATCACTTTTTAAATGTCAGAGCAAGCCAAGATCTACCCCATCTCTTCCCCAAGACTCCACTCCTTCCTTAAGGCTCTACCCACTCCATTCCCCTCCTCTCCCCAGCCCTGACTCACTTTCACTGGGTTGAGACAGGAGGCTCTGGGGAGGGAATGAGGGATTTGGGTTGGGAAGGGGTGAGAGGTGCAAGCTCTGGGAGGGAATTTGAATGCAAGAGGAGGTGGAGAAGGAGATGCTGGCTCAGGGAGGGGGCTCCAGGCTGGAGCGTGTTGGGGTCAGGTGGAGGGTTGGGGTGCTGAGCAAGCCGCAGGCTTGTGGATGTGAGGATGCAGGAGTTTGGGTTCGGGTGTATGAGAGGCTTAGGGCAGGGGGGTTGGGAGTATGATGGGCTCAGGACACAGATTTGTAGTGTGTGGATGGTGCAGGAGTGTTGTGGTAGAAGACTGAGGATGTGGGGGTGCAGGAGTGTTATCATGCTGCAGCAAGATGGGGGGCCAACACAAATGTTTCATCATTGTTTTTATTTATGGGAGTGGCAGGGAACCTGTTTTGGGTCAGGGTTACTGACCCATAGGAAAATCAGTCAGGGTATGTCTACACTACAAAGTTAGTTCGAACTAACAGACGTTAGTTCGAACTAACTTTCCTAGGCGCTACACTAGCGCTCCGTTAGTTCGAACTTAATTCGAACTAACGGAGCGCTTAGTTCGAACTAGGTAAACCTCATTTTACGAGGACTAACGCCTAGTTCGAACTAGCTAGTTCGAACTAGGCGTTAGTCCTCGTAAAATGAGGTTTACCTAGTTCGAACTAAGCGCTCCACTAGTTCGATTCAAATTCGAACTAGCGGAGCGCTAGTGTAGCACCTATTAAAGTTACGTTAGTTCGAACTAACTTTGTAGTGTAGACATACCCAGAGAGAGTAAGAGATGCAGC